GGGGGGGGGGTGGGGGGAGAAAGCTTCAAAGAGATTTTGAGAGGGTTGGGGGGGTTACCCATTGGAGGCTAACGAGCTTGAGGAGGGAGGACCATAAGGTTAGGGATGTCTCACATTGTATGAACAGATGTGGAATGTTTTTCTCCTTTGGTAAGCCTAGGGTGGGAGAGAGACCCCTCTGTGTTGAAGTTGGTCCAAGGTGAGAGTTTTGCCATGGAGGATAGTCCATATAAAGCCCTAAATGTAGTAGTATTCATAGGCAATTTAGTGCTTTTAGTCTCTATAGTCCTTTTCATGTTTCTTGCTCATTGATTTCTCATAACATAAAAATTGCAGAAAATGCATTAGATAGGTACTAGCAAGAAAACTTTATTAAAAATTTTGCATTACACACATCAAATCATGGAAATACATAATGAACAGTTAAAATAGGCTGTTTCGTGCTTTCCCAGCATCAACATTACCAACCAGGCGAAAATAACAACACCACATTTTATCAAACAGGGTTCCCAGCTTTCAAGCTACTAATTTTCACTTTCTCCTAGATTCTAGGAAAGTCAGCAGAAGGGAGAATCCCAGGGAAACTGTAGATAAATTTATCAATAAATATTTAAATTGAATTCACTCTAGGTTGGTTGTCCTTTCGACATGAGTATATTTTTAAATTCCTCACTATCTATTTTTCTTTTGAATTTCCTGCGATCTTCATCTCTATCTTCCATACCTGAAATCTTGAGGGCACAATTGGAACTTTTTTCATATATCCCAAATTCCAACCCATGCCTGCGCATCCTCCCCTGTTTATTTTGTTTTTCGTCTCTTGCCTCTCCAACTTCACCCTAAGCCCCCAAAAAGATAAACCCAAGGTTCGCCTCTCCTCCCCTTCTTCATCATCTTTGATCTTACAGGAAAATATGCAGTGGTTTGAGAGTTTTGGAGTACATCAGGTATGAATCTAAGCTTCATGAGGTATTTCAATGTTTTTGCAAAGTTTTGTTGTCATTTTTCTTACTCTTTTGTCTAGTTTGCTTCTTTGTCTCAGCAAATTGGTCAATCTCTCTCTCTCTCTCACTCTCTCTTGCTCTCTCTCTCTCTCTCTCTCTTGTCCTTTGAAGTCTATGGATTAGAGTTCCATGATTATGTTGCGATGTGTAAAAATATCGTTTTATATATCAATTGTTTTTTTTTTTTATATCTTTGAGGTCTAGTTTTTATTCCTATATGTGATATGTAATTAAGTTTCTCATCCTCTGTATTCTATGATTTTGTGGAGGAAGTCGCATTGTGCCATGTACTAACATTATTGTTCTTGTCTATTCACCAATTTTATATGCAAATCTAGGTTAATAGCAAAATCTCCTTCTTCTTTTTTTTTTTTAGGGTGGTGGTAGTTACATATTGCAATCTGTTAATATTTGGCTTTTACTTTCGAAATTCACACTGTTTCTGTTTGTTTACTGCAATCTGTTTATTGTTGGCAATTGTTATCAATATTCACTCTATTCTTCTGATTTACTTGGTTATATCCTTGTGTGAATATTCAATGAACCGTCTCACTACCATTTTGTTATGCGTATTACTTGTAAAGTGCAAAAAGCTGGAGTACAAGATACCCAATTATTTGCCCAGAAAAATCCATTAAAAATTGCACAAACCAGCGAACTGGGGGCCCGTTTAATGGTGTGTTGGGTTTCTGTAAGCTTGGCTTAGTGGTTTCTCTTTGATTGTTTATGGTCTTCGTTTTTTGTAAATTTCTCATACATATTTTTTCTTTCTTTCTTGTTATATATACTGATGGCTGTGCTTAATTTAATCTAGCAAATTTTATTCCTTTTTGATAATTTTTATGCTTGGGTTTTCTGATACTTTTTTA